CAGTAACCAATATTCAATTATCTAATAGATTATCCTATAATGTACATAACTACAAACAAACAAATCTATCTGTACAGTAACCAATATTCAATTATCTAATAGTGATCATCCTATAATGTACATAACTACAAACAAATCTATCTGTACAGTAACCAGTATTCAATTATCTAATAGTGATCATCCTATAATGTACATAACTACAAACAAACAAACAAATCTATCTGTACAGTAACCAATATTCAATTATCTAATAGTGATCATCCTATAATGTACATAACTACAAACAAACAAACAAATCTATCTGTACAGCCACAGTGAGCATTACAGCACAACCAACCTGAGGAAAATACAGCCAGATCGTGCACATAATGAAAGATGAAGGTATTGGGAGTAGTTCACATTCAAGTGTGAACAATCTTTTCCAACAGACAGCAAAAATGAGCAGCCAAAGACATGATGAGATGACAAATTTGATAGAAAGAAACTGTAGAAATGGTGACCTTCCATGGATAAAACCGAACATTCCAGTCTAACGAGTTCAGAAACTCAGCCAGTGAGTGAAACAGGGAATCAACCAAGGGAAACAGAAGTGTTCTAGGGAATAAAAATTCGGAAGCATGAACTCTGAAAGGAAGCTGTAGATTCCACATAACACTGTAAGGAGTGAATCGAACAAAGAAGTCATTCAGGATCAGAATGGGAGTACAGGTGGGAGACATAAGAGGAATGGTAGAAGATGTGGGTAACATTAATGGCATGAATATCTGATTAACAACATCTGCAAGCAAGGAGAAGAAGGAAGGAAAAAAGCTTTGAGAGAGAGAAAGAGAGATGGTACATGGAACACGTAGACAAAGGTTCAAAGGGCAGACAGGAAAGAGCATAAAGGACCACAATGAGATCCCAATCAAGTAAGTCAAAGGAACATAGGACGCACAGCTCGAAAGGAGCAGAAAACAAGGAAAATGACAGGGGAAGACAAAACTTTACGAAATTAGGAGAAATGGAAGGTGTTCAACAAGGCTGCCTGATGGTTGAAGTGGACAAGCCTTTGTCAAACAACCACATGAAGAAATAGGAAAGAAGAGGAATGGAGACCACTTTTACCCTTCATTCCCGGATCAGAGCTGACCTGGCTTGGTGGTTAGACAGAGACCAGACCGTGGTGGGGATGCCGCTTCCTCTGCCGTATCCAGATTTACATCTTCACATTTAGAGAGTTTGGGTGCTTACTTCGACTCCTGGGAGATTTTCAGTCTCTTGCTGATAAAAGAGTCTTCTCTCTGTATCACCATTCTTAGGCTTATGGTGGTTTGTCAAGCTTTGTCCCATTTCTTTCCTCTCCTGCAGGAGAGGATGATATGGTACACTCCAACAATTCCACAGTGGTCACTTATAACACCAAGCAAGAGTGTACTAATTCCAAGTCTCTCTGCTTTCAGATCCTGGATCTCCTTTTCTGGGTCCACAGTCACCATATTGTGGTCTTAGCTTGCCATGTTCCTGGCACCCTGAATCTGGTTGTGGATCGATTATCTCGTTCCAACAAGATTCTCTCCATGGAGTGGTCTCTCAATCCACAGGTTTTTTGGTGGGTGTTTTTCCAGCTGGGGACACCTGATATATGCCTTTGTCACACATCGGTACACCAAACTTCCTTCCTTTTGGTCTCCCATTCCACACCCTCTAACTCTGGGGGGTGGATACATTCAGTTACGATTGGAAGGATCTTCACATCTATGCTTACTCTCCCAATAGACTCCTCTCCAGAGTTCTATCCCTAATCCAAATCACTTCTTGTCTAGTCCTACTGGTGGCTCCTTATTGCCCGACACAACCATGGTTCCCACTGCTCCGTTATTTACTTGTACAAACCTCCTCTATCCTTACAAGTGTCTTGGTCTCTATTTTGTTAATCTGGATTGGACATTTTTCATCCACGTGTCACCACACCCTGTTTTCATGCATGGCTTTTGTCAGGTCCATTGCTTCAGCCATGGACTGACTCCACGCATTGAATCTTTCCTTTCCCATTTCATCAGTTCTTTGTTCATGTCCATTTACCAAAGGCAATGATCTACCTTCAATGGTTTCCATCCTTAACACCTTTAAAAACATTACTTAAAAAATCTTAAAACTTTATAAATAATATATGATACTTTGTGTACGAATGCCTTGTAATGTTTACTGATAATCTGCAAAATTTGTTGAAGATATGTTTATTAATTTAAAAGTTATAATATGAAAATTATATCAAGCACAAAATGGTTACTAGGTCGGTCTCACAAACCGAGCCTGTGCTGAAAGAGTTAATTGAACCACCCTTTTACCCTTCATTCCCGGATCAGAGCTGACCTGGCTTGGTGGTTAGACAGAGACCATACTTGTTCTTTTGATACAAAACTTCAAGCTGATAAGGTGAGTTTTTAGTCTGCTTGAAAATTTCATATTTTTTTAGACCCAAATACAGCTTAGTTACTAAGCTTGATAAGTTATATTGGAATTTTATGATACTGATAAAGTAATTTTAAAATGTATATATAAAACCTAATTATATATATATAACTCCAAAAAACTATTTCGTTTCACATCCTCCACATGCAAAATTTGATAAGGATAACCTAAGAGATAATTGATTGTTATACTTCTTTATTTACTGTTCTATGTTTTAAGGAAAATAAATTTAAGAACTTATTTGTAAATAGTAATAATGTATATACATATATAATGTATTATAACTAAAATGTGACTATATTTGCAAAATACTAGTCCACTAAAACACAGCCAAGACACGTCACTTTATAAAGCCTGAAGGCCAGTTTTATATTCTTAGATACGGTAACATGAGTGCACGTGAGGCACATCATTGCAACTTCTGTATTGTTAGCCAGGCATGGCTGGAAGGTCAATATAATAAAAATAAATATATATAAATATATATTGTAATGAAACTTAAGCTACTTAGACTAAACATTTGTGTTTTCGTGTTATAATTTTTAGTCATTCTAGAATGAAAAAGGCATAATTTATATTCATTTCGTAATTTTTTTATAGTGGTTACGAGCTAGGTCAAATTGACCAAACCCGTACAGAGATTTGTTAGTGAAAATAACAGATAAAATATAAAGTTTTACTTAAGAAATGCTTGATAATTATGTGGACGTTATAAAGATTTCGCATGTGAAATTTTAAAATTTTCTGATGCATAAAACTATTTTTAATCTTAAAAGTGAAAATTACTTTTCATGTTGAATAGTCAACATTCAAAAAGAAAAAAGGCATGAGTTTTCATCTAAGTAAATGACTTTTCCAAGCAAGCATAAGAAAAATTATGAACCTTATTGCTCTAATTCTTTCACAGAACTCTTCTGTCTGAAAAGGATACTAGAAGATATACATAAAATGAATGATGCACTACTTTGAATATATAATTAGGTTTGTGGGTACATTGAAAGGGATCCTTAGTAGTAATGAAAATGGAATATGTGTGATCCACACTTGGTATTGCTGGTGCACAAAAATATAGCTAATAAAAAGGAAACAAACAAGCATAGTAAAAAAAATTAATTTTATAAAGACAAGTAGGGATCGATATAATAATGTAGCTATCTATGGTAAGATAGAAAGTTTTAATACTAAAAAAGTATTGAAACAAGAAATTCAACTACAAAAACTGAGTTACTTAATGTTTCAAATATTTCATATCTACTTTGGCTCAGATTGGCATAATTACAGTGATTTGCAAAGTAAGGATAAAATTTTATTACTTATTAACACAATAATATTATATCTGAACTGATTTTCTAGTTTTATTCTTATTTACTTCTTAATGTTTTTTAAACTTTGTAAGATACCACTATAACTATCATAAGTTTTATTTAAAAAATAAAATGATATTCTAATTTTTATTTTGTTTGATTTGAATTTTAGGTTACTTGAAGAATATAAAAAATACTAGGTTTTTTTACTTTGTTTAAATACTTGGTTGCCTAATGAATGAAACCAGTAATAATTATTTATTTACCTTGTTTGGCTATAAATTGTTTTAGTAACTGTATAATTATAAATACAACACTTAAGGCCCAGTTTGTAGACTTGAAAGTGGTGTTTTTTTCAACATTTCATGCAAAGAATTGATTAGTTATATGTATTCAAATAATGAACCTCATGATTAATTTGTGAGCAATTTTCCCTAATTTCACAAAATATGAAGAAGAAAGACACTACTGAGAATTTCAAAAATCTTTAGAAACCATCATTGAAGATTGTAACAATCAGAATAAGATCTTTGGATTTATATATATTAATGCTAATAATATTATGGTAATAGGATAAGATATTTGGATTTATATATAATAATGCTACTAATATCATGGTAATAGGATAAGATATTTGGATTTATATATAATAATGCTACTAATATCATGGTAATAGGATAAGATATTTGGATTTATATATAATAATGCTACTAATATCATGGTAATAGGATAAGATCTTTGGATTTATATATAATAATGCTACTAATATCATGGTAATAGGATAAGATCTTTGGATTTATATATAATAATGCTACTAATATTATGGTAATAGGATAAGATCTTTAGATTTATATATAATAATGCTACTAATTTAATGATTGATAAACGTAATGTGTTCTTATTCATGTAAACCTTTTAGCATCACAACCAGTGAAACAAATTGTTCAATTTGGGTGAAGAGGATAAGTTTTATATTAAAAAAAAATGTCAGTCTGCAAAGGCTATAGATGTCACAGTTTTCTCTATTTTGTATTTATTTAATATTAAAAGCGAACAATATTAAATTATAAATGTAGGTCATACGATGCATATTAACAATTTTAAATAATTTAGGAAATTTCGACTGAGTGAAAGTCAAATTGCAGAAGACTTCTCACAATATTATGTGACTTCTGATTGTATTAAAATTTTAGTTTCAGCTAAGCAGTGGCTGATATTTAGAAAAATATTTATTCTTTACAGAAACCACTCCTCGAAAACATTCCTGTGTGAATAGTCTCAGTAATTTAAGATCTTTGACCAAAATAAAGACTCCTTCTCACTACAGCTCCCAAGGATCACCACTGAGAGCTCTTTTGGACTCACCTTTACTTGTTCAGAGAGTATGTTTCTGTTTTTTTTTTATCTATTTATTACATTATTATGAACCTTTTAACAGGCAATTTCTATCTTAAACAGAGCATGTTTGCTAAAGCACTCTCAGTCAGTTAAGTCCAGGATTTTGTTGTATTTCAGAATACAACTTATTTTATAATGAATCAAATGGTGTAGGGCAATCCTGAAAGAAGTACTTACAAAGATACAATGGCTTTTTTAGGGTAAGTGGGAGTAATATTTTTGCTGCAAATTAGCTTCTGGCCATTTGTTATTCTGATGCACTTTTGTTGAGAATGTATTGATTTTTTAAAAAATACTTATACTCTGTATTAAAAGTAATGTAGCAATAACTCATTCGATAGATTAAAACTGGTTTTCTAATGGTTATAATTGTAATATAAAATGTCAGAGAGAATTATAAATAAAGGATGTGAAAAGTGGGCATGGCAAGCAGGTCTGGCTTTTTAGTGTGTCACTGTGAACAAAGACGAATGAAGGCTACAAAAATTATATTTTGCCATAGTAATATCTGTATTGTAATGAATAATTTACATTACGTTCTGTACGTTAGAGAGAAGTGTTAAAAAATTAGAGAAGGGGAAGACGTAGAGAACAAATGTCATGAGTAAAGATTGATTTAAAGAATTCCATTTAAAATTGGGAAATTAAAACTTGGTAAAATTTAATTTATTCAGTGTGTTTTGATGCCAAGTTTATTTGTGTACATTGATAATAAAGTAGCTTAATTAAATTTTGAATATAACTTTACACAAGGTTGTAACATGCATACTTTGACCTACCCATTGAGAGAGGGTTAAGATTGACTGGTGATTCTGATTCACTCAAGGATAAATTTCTAGCTTTTTGGAAAGTGGGATCTATTGTAATTTCTTTCATTTCATGAAAGCTGTGACACTTGAAGTAGAGGAAGCTTTTAATCCTTTTCTTTCCTTTTTTTGAATAATATATTATTCCATGGTTGTTTTTCATATTTTTATTATTTTTTTCAATTAACAATTGTAGTGTACAGATGCTCTTGCTTACTAATTTTACAGCAGGCAGTAGCACATATAGAGGTTGAATACATTATAGTAAGATGGTTTTAAAACCCTACTAAATCATTACAGTTCATTTTGCCATGTCCAGTCATACGTTATTTGATGTTTATGCATCTTGGCAATAGCTCTGCAGCACAGATTTATTGTAATAGGCTGTTGTTAAGCTGTTATGTCAAAAGCACACCACTTCTCCCTGCATGCTTTCCACTATTCATCTAGTGTACAAGGATGAAGATGCTACATCTGGAGATTTGACCAGTATGTCTTTGTATGGAAAAGCATTAATATCTGTTTCAGTCTCTAGCTGCTTGAAGAGTGTGATGATTGATTGGATATGTTGTGGAAGCAACTTGTTCACATGTGATTTATGTTACTTTTTCAGACAGAGATCCTTCTTGGTTATGTTGAATACTGTTGTCTGAGGCACATGGTGGCTTTTATGTCTATGGATTATCTTCTTTTAAAAGATACCTCAATTTGGTTGCCATGACTGGTGTATGTCATATTGTAGGTCTTTTTCTGAATGGTCCTGGTGCCCCAAATCAATCCATATTCCTTTGTTTTCCAATACCATTAAGTACAAGGAATATCCCCATTCTTGGAAACTCTAACTTCCAGACTGAACACATATTTATGATCTTAGTGAATGAATATTTTGCATTGGGAAGTGCTGTTACATATTCTTCCTAAAAATGGTCGGTTTTTAGCGTAGTTTGGAAACTTGCATTATTGTGGATGTCACGTGACTTGCATATTCAAAAACTTTTCAATATAAGGTACTCAATCCTTTGTGTACATATATCATATATGTATTATACCTATGCATATCTAGACTCCTCACTTCTTGGTTGAAATGCTGAAAGTCTGTAAATAGCCTTCAATTTATGGAGTGTATTTAAAGATCTTGGTTGTTTCTAACTGAGTATTGAAAAGAGGCTGTTATTATTGGAGCTTAGTGTAGTTTGGAAACATGTTTGATTGTGGCTGTCACGTGACTTCCATATTCAAAACCTTTTTAATATAAGGTACTCAATCCTTTGCATACATATAGTATATATGTATTATACTTATGCATATCTATGATTTATGTATACATTTAAGTATACATTTCATTATGTGGTAATCTTGCATATCGTGAGTTTCAACTGTACTAAAATTACCAAAATTGAATTTTAGCATACATTTCATTTGTGTGATTAAAATATAGTAAAATTATGATATCTTTTTTAGTTCTACATGTGCATGCAATATAAAACTGTTTTGATTATCTACCCATTAAATTGTTCATAAAATAAATATCATTAGTAATAAAAAAGTATTCAGTATTGCCTTCTTTTCTGTTTAGGTTCAGCATCTAAATTTTTAACTTTTAAAATGATCCATATACTTCTCTTCACACAGGAGCTATTCCTTGCACATCTGCCTTTGGGAGTTTGTGCATGCTACCAGCCTTAAACTATCTCGTGCATAAGACATATTTTAATGTGAACTGTACTAGTGCATGATGTAAACATCATGTGACAATAGCTCTTCACCACTAGGAGGGTGATACATCCTCCATGAGCAGTAGATTTCCATAAATGCTTGTGCTCAAAATTAATTTCATTCATTTCTTTGGCAGTGTTGTAAATGGATGGTCTTATCAAAGTTAAAACTTTGTCTAATTTAGTGCTTTTATTCCAGAGTTAACTTTGATTCATTTTATTTTATTTAGTTTCAAATTAAATTTAAAATTACATCTCCTTTCAGTTACTGCATTAAAGAAATTGATCTGAAGAATTACTTTAACAACAATGATATCTAAATGTTGGGAACTACTACTTTCTGCCAAGGTTCTATTGATGTTACTAACACTGCCTCCATTTCATCTGTAGCCACTGATTGTTTAATGTGTCTTGCATTTGTTAATGCCTTCATTGCCTCATCTCCCTGTTCGTATGATGAAGGCGTGTTCCCCTTTTTCTGAACCCAACCACAACCACAATGATTTTTATGGGCTCTTTCCACATCCCAGATTAACTATGCTCCACTTTACCTATAGAGAACAATGTTCCTTTTCCAAATTTCATTGTGGATTAGATTTCTTTGGTTTGTTCTTTACTTTCTCTTTCACTAATGTCTCTTAATTTTTCTCCATTCCTTATTACATGCCTCGCCTGCTGAGGATTATTTGGTTTTCTTCCTTCTCCAGACATACGTATCCATGCTGATGTGTCTCTGGATCAGCTTTTTTCACACTCTCAAATGCTTCGTCCTCCTTGAATCCAGGATTGCTTTGTCGTAGATTAGTCATTCCTCTTTTCCATTCTTCGAGTCCCTTTTACCCACTTGGAGAGCTGACACCCTGTCTCCATTAACTCTCTAATGCTTAGTTTTCCTGTCTTTTTCTTTTTCTTACCCATCTCCTTCATTACCTATCCTCTCTTCATCTCTTCTCTAAAGCTTTACTATGATCCTGATATTATTTTGTCGATCTATTCATATTCCTCATTCTTACCTCTATCTGGCTCCTTTGTTTTTCCCTGAAGTCTTTGAGAGTGTTCTTAACACCTTGGAAACTTTGGCCGAACCTCGGGACACCAGTCCTTCCTTTCCTCTTTGGTTCTCATCTCTCCCAACCTTGTGAATCCATGCCTCTTCCTTAACCCTGTGAACTCTCCACTTTTCTATCTTTTCCCATTTCTTGTCCATTAACTTCTCGCCACCTCTTCTTGTTGAGTTGCTTGTCACACATCCCATTGGTGACACATGGAGCATCTTGTCACCTTGACTCTGGCTCCTCCTATACTTCTTGAGAGAATGAAGTTCTATCATTTGGAAACTCTTGCATCTCAAACATCTTGTCCCTTTAGGCCAAGCTCACATGAGGCTTCTTTGGTAGACTATGAGAGACCCATGGAATACTTCCTGTAAACCTCTGTCCTCTTTTATAATGATGCTACCTTCTATTCTTGAGGATCTGTCTTATTGACTGGATCATGCCAACACTATAATTGGCATTCCCCATGTTTAAATCTCCATCTATTCACCAAAACACCTCATACTTGTTGGAGCACATCTGTGGACTGCTTCACAGCCTCGGGGATTTAGTCTTATTTAAAGTACCTTTCAAAATCAGTGTCCTGGAAATCTTGGTTACTCATTGGGCATTTTCTTATTTCATACTTTGACTTATGGATCACTTAGTCATGACCCACTCCAGCATTTGTACAATCATTTCCCATATCAGTTGCCAGGATGGGACTCACTCTAGGGTCCTTTGTTTCCACATGTTGGACTGTCTATTTTGGGCCCACTCACATTGGGTTTGTCTAACCACCTACCATGTCCAGGAGATTTTGAATTTGGTGATGGATCATCTTTCTTTACTGGACAGATTGGTCTAGGGATTGGTCATTCCATCCTCAGGTCTTTTGTTTAATCTGTTCTCACTTTGACACACCAATGATCAATGCCTTCACCATTCCTCTCTACCAAATTTACACTCTTCCAGTCCATGGTACCTCATCTAGCTGCTCTGGCTGTGAATGCTCTCAGCCAGGACTGGTTTCATTTCCTTCTGTATCTGTGCCCTTCTCTTCACCTTGTCAGATCCTGGCTCATTCTTCTTCACTAACTGGTATCCAAGATGGCTCTTTCTCTACTTCAGTTTTGATCACTGTTGCTACAACCTCGTAAGCCAGAAGTATCATCCCTTCATATTCATTTGTGGGATTTGTATGGACTTTTACTTACCTGTCAGGTTTCTCCAACTTTTTTATCCTGGTTTTGTTGTCCATCTACTCTCTCTGTTTATCAATGAAATAGGCATATTTTTCGCCACTGGTCTATCTGCTACTCTTTCCCACAAGTCCATTCTACTGTTGCCTACCTTTTGGCTTTCTTTACCATGTTGTTTGAATGAGGATTGTTGGTTTTTACCATAGCAGGCTGTTGATTGGACCTGTTAACTTCAATTATTTCAATATGGTTCCATCTTTTCCTCCCCTGTACTTTCCACCTTGTTCTGGTCCTTCATAATTCACCGTTCCCTTATCTGAGTTCTTTGCCCAACTGGAACCTTAATGTGGTTCTACATTCCTATACTCAGGTCCTATTTGAACCACTGGCCACTTGTTTGTTATATCTCTCAAAACCTATTTCCTTGCTTGTGGTCATTACAGATCTGATGTTTAGGCATTGGATGTCTCCCATAATTTATTTCACAGAACTGCCTTCACCATGTTCTCTGGCTGCTCATTTTTTCCTTAGACTTGGGCTGTTTTCTTCTCCTGTTGATCTCAGTCCTCTATGATCATACTGATCCTGATCACCATTTGTGTCCAGTTTGAGTGGTCAGGTGTGGATTGGCAAACACTGCTCCATTTCAGGATTCTTGAAATCCTTTATTCTTGCCATGTGACCTCTTTTCTTCCTTTGTGCTTGTTGTCAACTCACTTGGATCATAAATTCCTCCTTGGATGGAGATACTAGGCTGTACCATACCTCATCCCATCACATTGCTCTCTGGGCTCGCACTCTCGATGACCCTTGGATAGGATCCTCCAGGCTGGAATGTTAATTACCCCCCACCATCTGACAGTTTTGTCTTCCTTGGGATATTGCCTACCTTTAGTTACCATTTTCTAGTCTTCTTATTATTTCTGACAGGCAAGTTTCTCTTTTACTTCCTTACGTCTTTCTACTCTTATACGATTTACTTCTCGGTACCCACCCAGTGGCAAGTGTCGTCTCACAGGATATACTTACTTCCCTAAACTTGCATCAAATCAAGGGTAATGGAAAGTACTAAACATATCCACCTTGGATTTAAATGTGTATAGAGAGATAAGTACCTATTGGAAATGCATTTTCAGGTAAGGAAAATGTTAACACTTTATCCAACAATAAAACATAGTTAATCAGTATTGATGTTTAAGATTTTAGATAAAAATGTGAAATTTAAAAAGTTGCCATATGAGGCCCAAACTTTGGTACTGGTGATTGAAATAGATTGTATTATTTCTTTATAAAATGACTTATAAGTGAAAAGACAAATTTTAAACACTGATGGAGCTTCAATTATGTTTATTTGTTATTTAATTGGTTTACTTATGATTGAAAAGTCACGAAAGTAGGGGCTGGCATTGCCAAAATTTTCATATTGTGGTATGAGTTAAGCATATTGCAATATTTTAAGTATAGTATATTAATGATTAAAGGGGATATATTCCCGACATAAAACAGGACAACAGCAGCAAGGCTCTCTTGAAGTTTAAATATGTATAGCATATGTTGATATGGTATACAAAGGTAAATCTGTGATATATATATATATATATATTTTTTTGTAAGTTATATTACTATGTTTAGTGAAAACCAAGGTTAGAAATAGAAGCAACAAATAGAGTGACACACTTTATTTTACAACACTATGAACTTATCAAAAACTTGTGATGATTTAACAGGTTGCTGCTAATGCCTAAAACCAAAATGAGTCTTGCTGATGTCATGGAGCAAGCATTTTCATACTTTCCAATACAGAGTGGAACAAAATAAACTGTAATTAGTGATGCACCATTATTATTTTCTTTGCCAATACAAATAGCCAATGATTACCCAACCATATTGGTTGATACGAATATTTAGAATTAGCGTAGATGACATACTTTAAATTACTGAAACTGAATTAATGTATAAGTGATTTTTTTTTTTGGTTACATTTATAACAAAAATATTATTTACTTGGTGCATTTAGTTCAGAGTAATGATGATTTTTGAAAAAAAATACATTGTATTTGTGCTTCTAGAAACAGCAAAATACAAACACACTCACATATATATTTGTAACTTTTGAAATGTTACTGTAACTTTCATTGTTTTCTAGGTGGAACTTTACACATGTAAACACAACTATTAGCTTCACCACTTAAAAAAGTCAGTATAAAACTTCAATTTATTTTACAAAATTTAGCCTAACTTAAACTTTACTACTTCAGGAAACTGAAATCAGTTTTTTTCTTCAAAACACAACATAACTATGCTCATAAGCAAATGCAGATCAAGACAGAAAAAAATACAAAAAGAGATCTGGGAGATTATGTTTCGATGGATACCTTTGTGAGCTTAATGACATCCTTGAAGGACAATTGTAGTGCTTGTACTCCTGTTATCATGCCAATTGTGAAGTTGCTAACTTCATTCCATTCTGTTTACTCATTATGTATAGTGACCGATCTATATATAAGTGTTTATTTTCAAGAATACATTAAAGGAAAATTAATTTTTCATTGCAATTCCTAAAATTTCATATGAATATCAACAGAGATCTGCCAGTCTTTGTTTGTGCTGAATGGTCAATCTGAGAAAAACTTATGATGAAGAAAAATGTTTCTTTTTGTAAGGGAGTTTCATGAAAAAATGGTACTTCTGCTGACTGATCAAAAGAAATATTTTAAAAATAGAAGCATGATTGGAAAAAATGCATAAAGGCAGAACATCTTTGAGTATATATTTGCTGTTTTTTGGTTTATAGATTTGTATATATATGTTTTAGTCCCCCATTTCAGCATTAGATAAATGCATGGTTATTTTGTACCATTTTGAATAAATTGCTTTGAATAGCTCCCATTTGACACTACTTATAGAAATGACAACTGCCAAAAAGCATTCACTTTGGTAGCAGTCTTTTCGTCCACTCAGTAAAATGACAAGGAACAGTGGTATCCAACAAAAAAAAATCCCAGTGGCTACTTATTGAAGCTGAGTCCTCTAATGTTGCTGTATGCACCCATTGCACTGAAAACCAAATATTTTTATGCCCTCCCTAAACTACATAAAACTGGGATACCATTCTGCCCAATTGTTGATAACAGAGGATCATCAATATTTTCTAAGCTTATTATTAATAAATGTTCTTTTTTTAACAAATTCTCACATACTTACAGTTAAGAATTTATCACAATTTATTAATAAGATTTAAAATATAATTAAAGAAGAAAATGATTGATTAGTTTCATTATTTACAAATGTACCAATACAAGTATTATGTTGTTTTGAAAATTGGTTACTAGCCAGCAAAATTTGTTCATGTCTAGAAGTAGATAATATTTTAAATTTAACAAAATTATGTGCAAGTTATAGTTATTATAAGGTGGGTGATGAAATTTATGAACAGAATAAAGGCTTGTCTATGGGGTTTTCTTTATCACCTCTGTTAGCAGAATATACCAGACTACAGATAATAACTAAGGTAAATAAATAAAGAATATGTTTGTCATATGTTTTGTCACTGTCAACTGTGTTCATGAAAAACACGACTTGTCTATTAGCCTTTACTCCTCACTTAAAACTAATGAATATCATTATTGCTTTTAAAGACAAAATTGAATTAAAAGATAAATGTGGAATATATATAAAATCTCTTGTAGTTGTGGCTTGAATTGTATCAAACAGACAAATATATATTTGAAGTTCCAATTTAATGAACATAAAAATGGCATCAAAAAATTAAAAACTAGTGATTTGGCTTTAGGGAACATGTGGCAAACCTTTTGCATAACACTGAATAGGATAAGGTTCAAATACATAGAGAAGTTAAGTTAAAAAATCAATTCAACATAAGAGAATCTCTAGAAATTCTTAAACATGAAATGATTTTGAATAGAGATCTAGGTTAGATATTTATGTGTCCTTTGTTGTCTAAGTTAATTTAGATGAATTGTAAGTTATATATTGATTATTACTTTGTTTTTCTAGGCAATATTAGTCACTTTGCATGTTTCTTAATCTTATGTACCTTGTAGACTCGGTAAATTTTAAGGGTTTGTCAGTTTGATATTAATAAGTACTTTAACTGGATATATTTAGATAGTTTGTAAGTTACATATTATTACTATGAGTCACATCAAATTCATTGTTCTACATTACTATTTTTTTCTCGCCATTGTTAAATATGTGTCATATAATCCTAATTAACAATAATTATTTATTTATGTGTCCTTTGTCATGTAAATTAACTTAGATGAATTGTAAGTTATATATTGATTATTACTTTGTTTTCTTGTTAATATTTGTTGGTTTGCACATTCGTTGTTATTATGTACTTTGTGGACTAGGTAAATTTAGAAGGTTTGTCAGTTCAGTATTCATAAGTACTTTGTTAACTAGGTATGTTTAGATAGTTTGTACATTACATATCATTACTACTAGTAACATATAATTCATTGTTCTATCTGGATACATTTTTTTTTGTCATTGTTAACTATGTGCTTGATAATCCTACTTTTCATCAGTGCTTTGCTACATCACTGAGGTGTTAGTTTTTTTCCCATTCATAGGGCTAAGTTTTGTTTCAGCTCCTTTTCCTAGATTCTTGATACTAGAAACCAAATTTTCTCTTCATAATATACAATTTGGGGTTTGTCCACACAGTGCATACATCATTGATAGTTTTTATTGCTCAAATTCGAGTATTCCAGTTCAGGACTCTACCAATTTTACTAACCTTGGCTCTTTAAGTGTTTTGTAGGGTAATATGACATCATCACTCTGGGTCTTTTCACTCATCTTTTCATAGATGACTGGCTACTGCTTGATTCTTCCTGTTCACAGTTCAAAGATCATACCCACCTGCTCCTACGAGAAGCAACACAGGTGGTATTCCTGATGTAAGGGTGAAGTCCGTTTTACCCCCCCCCCCCATTCAGTACCTAGTTCGTTTGGAGGTTTTTTTTTCATTCCTATCTCAGTTGACCCCAGCCTACTCTTCTTTGTCTTTGGGATATGGAGCAAGCAGTTCACAAGACTCTCACCTCACATTTTCTCACAACTTCGAGAGGTTCTATCTATTCAGAGGATGTGGGCTTCCTATAAGATCTCATTCCCATGGGTCGAGCTCTTATGCATTCCCGTCAGTGGACACTTTTAAATAGTGGAACTTCTACTTGGATTAACCCTATTGACATACGTCAGGAGTCAAAGGCCATGTCATTGCGTTTGTTGACTCTCATTCAAAATTTTATTGAACTACTATTTTATGAATTTATGTCAGTAAGTTTGGTATCAAATTGTAGATTATAATTCAAATTTTAGTATTATGCATTAGTTAATTTCTTAATTTAAAAGTAAATATTAAAAAACATACCTAAATATTGATTTTTGTGTGTCATGTAGTATGTTGAATGCAGCACTGGTTCAAATTAGATGTTTGTGATGTCCAAATACAAAATCTAGTTTTGTATAAATCAGGAACTCAAATTACCAATATTGACAAGCTAGAATATAAAATAAGAACATTCTATTTTTCCTATTTGCTGAGATTTCTCCACGTTTACTGAATCAAACACAGTGGCCCCACCCACCTCTTTCCATTTTTAGAAACATTTGCTTACATAAACCTACTTCTGTCTATGATGTGAATAACCAATTGAAAGCTCAGAATATCCCAAAGTGCTTTTCTCAGCCATTTTCAAGTATTACGATGTCTTTTGATTCACTCCATAAACACATATATAGTGATTTAGGTGGCTTTATAAGTACAAAAAGTTTAAGTTTTGTTCAGTTAATACTGTGAAATAGTCATTGTTAATATCCAGACATTAAAGGTGGTTTTATAAGGCCAATTTTTTATGGCGACCATTTTGTTTCATCACGATCCCTACTATTAAGTACTACCATATTTAATGTTGAAAAACTGGCTCTGTAACAAATCTTTGTTATAAGAGCTGTGTATTATCTTAGAAATAATCAGTTATTGGCTGAGGCCTTAATTGAATTGCTGTGGAATCCAGCTGTGTTGATTTCAGAAAACTTCAAAAAAGCTTTTATGATAATTAATAACATAACCAAACATCTAAATATCAATTTTTGTGTGTCACATGGTATGTTGAATGCAGCATTGGTTCAAATTAGATGTTTGTGAAGTCTAAATACAAAGTTATAGTTTCTAATGA